TTTTTTGCTCAAGACTGGCATTGTACCACTTTGAGCCATAGTGCTACTTCTGGTTTTCTGGTGGTTAATTGGAGATAAGAATTTCACAGACTTTTCTGCCCAGGCTATCTTTGAATCATGATCCCCTCAGATCTTAGCCTCCTGAGTAGCTAGGATTACTGGCTGAGCCACCAGTGCCCAGCAGCTAAGGGATTCTTATTTCTAATTAACCACCAAAAAGTTGAAAGTGGCTCAAGTGGTAGAGTACCAGTTGTGAGTGGAAAAAACTGAGTGAACACAAGTCCCCTGCCCCGAAGATTCAGGTGAGGTTGACAATACAAATGAGAGATTAATTTTCTCTTTTATATTACCTTGTAGCATAAACATAAAAGATGGGGATTGAGAACGTAGCTCAGTGGTAGAGTGCTTGCCTTGCATGCATGAGGCCTTGGGTTCAATTCCCCAGCACCACATAATCAGAAAAAGCCAGAAGTGGTGCTGTGTCTCAAGTGGTAGAGTGCTGGCCTTGAGCTGAAGAGCTGAGGGACAGGGCTCAGGCCCAGAGAGAGTTGAAGTCCCACAGTGGACGCCCCAAAAAACAAACAAATAAACATGAAGGATGTTGTTTAGTCTCTAAAATAACCTTTATCCCTCCACCATCTCTTTCAGATGCTGTATTCCTGATTTTGTACAAAGAGTTATACTACAGGCACATATATGCCAAAGTCAGCGTGAGTATTTTCTTTAGTTGTTAACACTTTTATTCTGTGTCATTTTCATTTCTAGAACATGTCAGTAGCTTACATTGGTTCTAGGTCCAAAATTGTTTGCAGCTGGGTGTTGGTAGCTCATGCCTTTTTTTTTTTTTTTTTGGTTAGTCGTGGGTCTTGAACTCTGGACTTCGGTACTACCCCTCAACTCTTCAGCTCAAGGCAAGCGCTCTACCTCTTGAGCTAGAGAGCCACTTCCGGTTTTCTAGTGGTTTATTGGAGATAAAAGTCTCAAGGACTTTCCTGCCCCGGGCTGGCCTCTGTGTAGCTAGGATTACAGGCGTTAGCCACCGGTGCAGACTAGCTCTTGCCTTTAATCCTAGCTACTCAGAGGGTGAGAGCTAAGGATCCTGGTTTGAAGCAAGTCCAGGTAGAAAAGTCCAAGAGATTCATCTTCATTTAACCAGCAAAAAACCAGAAGTGGAGGTTTGGCTTAAGTGGTACAGAGCATCAACCTTGAACAAAAAAGGCAAACAAGGGGCTGAGAAGGTGGCTCAGTGGTAGAGTGCTTGTCTTGAATGCATGAGGGCCTGAGTTTGATTCCTCAGCACCACATAAGCAGAAAAAGCCGGAAGTGGCGCTGTGGCTCAAGTGGTAGAGCGCTAGCCTTGAGCTGAAGAGCTGAGGGACAGCGCCCAGGCCCAGAGTTCAGGCCCCACGATGGGCAAAAAAAAGCCAAACAAGGTTATGATTCCCTGAGTTGAAGCCTCAGTACTGTCAGGAACACGCTCAAGGAATGATTTCCCAGAAAGCTGGTATCTGAAGTCTGTAGTCTTTTCTGTGTAATCCATTCTCACAGTTTTCCTTGACAGGACATGGACCACCATGCATCATGTTACAAGCAGCCATTCTACTCTTGCCTCCAGACACCTTCAGTTGCATTTGCTTAGGTTGATTTTTCTTTTTCACTTCTTTGTGAGCCTCTTCCTCTCTCAAATGTGTGTAGCAGCATCACTGCAGGTCAGGCATGGTGCTAGGTACTTGGCACACTTCTATTGATATCTCTTGATCCTTTGCTATCCTGTTACTTGGTTATGAATGTGAAGATGCTGGGTACCTGTGGCTCACAATTGCTATCTTAGCCACTCAGGAGGCTGACACCTGGAGGATTGTGATTTGAAGCCATTTTCCGTTGGTGTTCTTCCTGAGACCCTGTTCCCCCTGTTTCACCTGATTTGTGTGCCCTTTGTCCAGACATGAGTTAAGCTTGAGTTAAGATCTGTGGTCATGTGATTCAGTGTTCAGTGCCCCTCTGTTGTAGTGTTTCCTTGCTGTCTTCCCTTACCTCCTTAGTTCTCTCATAGCACGAGCAAGCGGATGTCAGTTCTCAGTCATCGTGGTAGACTGTGGGTCAAGCACATTTAGTATCTGTGACCTGATGTCTCTGTTCTCTCTACAGGGAGGACCCTCCTTAGAACAGAGATTTGAGTCCTATTACAACTACTGCAATCTCTTCAACTACATTCTTAGTAAGTCTGATATGTGGCCAAGAGTAGAGATAGAGGTAAAGCTATGATGTGGGCCTTCTACTCTTTTTAGCAGATTTTAATTTGTGGGTGGAAAGACGGGAGGTCTTATGATTCCTAGTGCTTTAGAGAAATTCCAGAGCATTCTGTAGCCTTGCTAAATGAGCTAAGTCATTGCTTTGAGACTGACTTCTCTGATCTGCACAGATGCTGATGGGCCTGCTCCTCTTGAACTGCCCAACCAGTGGCTGTGGGACATCATCGATGAGTTCATCTACCAGGTATCTGTCAGCTAGAGCAACCAGTACCACATGCAGAGTGGGCCAGGTGCTGGTGGCTCATGCCTGTGATTCTAGCTATATGGGAGACTGAGTTCTGGAGGACTCTGGTTTGTGGCTAGCCTGAGCAGAAAAGTCCATGAGATATCTTTTAACCAAGAACCTAGCACAGGCTGAAAAAGCTTCAAAACTCTTGGGTGGAAGGAAATGGTGTATTGATGCACACCTGTCATCTCAGCTGTGGTGGGAAGTCAAAAGTAGGAAGATGACAGTCCAAGTTAGAAGCAAAACCGTCAACTGGGTGCTGTTGGCTCACGCCTGTAATCCTAGCTACTCAGGAGGCTGAGACCTGAGGATCATGGTTTGAAGCCAGCCTGGACAGGAAAGTCCATGAGACTCTTATCTCCAGTTAACTGCCAAAAAACCAGAAATGGAGTGTGGCTCAAAGCTGTAGAATGCCAGCCTTGAGCAGAAAAGTTCAGATAGCACCGAGGCTCTTGAGTTCAAGCCCCTTGACCAACCATCACCCCATTCCACCCTCCCCCCCCAAAAAAAAAAGATATATTTTTGGGGCTGGGAAGGTTGCTCAGTGGTAGAGTGCGTACCTTGCATGCTTGAGGCCCTGGGTTCAATTCCTCAGCACCACATAAGCAAAAAGAAAAAAGCCGGAA